CTGACAGGCAACGCCGTCTCGGATGCAGAGGTAGGGTAAAACGGCAGGACTGCCTTTAGTTGTCCTATTTGCCTTTGATTCACAAAAGCAACCTAGTTTTAAATTTGCAGTAGCCCGACATTCCCTTTTTTCCCGTTCGAATTTCCTCTTTTCGTTAAATTCCGCCAATGTAAGGTAAAATTCCCATCAATAGGCATCAGTTGCTTGAGCAACAGACGTGTATGGTAATTGAGTTGATTTTATTTAGCTCATTAAAACGACTGTAGGTGGCTTTAATCTAATTTACTTTTCGACACAATTATCTATTCATTTATACTCGTTAACCGGGACTTAAATGTTTAACCACCATTTCCGTAAGACAGTTAGGCAGGGGGAATATATCTTTAGGCGGCCCTGCAAGACACATTTGCCGGTAAAATTACAAGAAGCGCAGCAGTAGACACACACAAAACAATGCTCCTTTTTATTGCAATTTACTTGGGGGCGGGTCCTTTATCTTACAGCCTCTGCTAAGCGTCACTGGCGAAAGTCTTCATTTTGGTCTGGAGACACGACCACGACATCAGTCTCTGCGTTTTACGGTTGGCCTTCGTTCCTTGACCATAGTGGATGAACGTCGACGCTGGAGCATCGCGGAGCCGTCTCACGAACTACGCCCACTTCTGCCCTTGGTTGTGGTTCCACAGGCCTCAGCTACTGTCAGTGACGAAAGGCGTGGACTATTTTGGCTGGCTTACGAATTAAATCCGCCGGGTCTTGCGTCAACATCGAGGTACGTTTTGCGTCTCTTATGATGGTACCCTTTGATACTGAAAAAGTACCTTTAAAACCTCTCACTGCCGCTTTACTTGTCTAATTTTCAGCTTAAAGGTCCGGACAGACCCGCTAAGGATAGTCTATCAGCCTGAATTATTCCTACAAGCTGTCAAGTTCTTCCAACCGGGAAATTTGAGGTCTGGAAGAGGTCAGTTTACCAAAATGTGAATTTGCGCTAACTTGCCTACTTATTCTTTATGAGTAACACATTTTGTTTCTCTTACGTAGTTGCGGCGGCAAATACATACACAGCCATCATGGCGCGAACTGAGGCCAACCTGCGTGCCGTGATCAAAAATGCTGATATAGAGGATGAATTACTCGCCCCAGAACTAACTACAGACGCACCTGAATCGGTTAAGCGACCTGTTTTAAAGGAATCCTCTCAATGGCTGTTCGATTTTGACATTGCTGCTCCAAAGATCCTTTTTACCGACCGACTGTGGCCAACTTCCTCATCGTCCAGAGAGGAAAAGGCCTCCGTCTTAGGCGTCCTCTGTGACTTTGGTCACTTTCACCTGTCTAACAAAGCGATGGAAGACTCAAAGGAGTCCAAATTGGAGGAGGTTCGTTTTCGTGTTCTTGTTTACCATTAGAGCCCAATAATTTTCAACTTTGCTCATCATGTTTTGACTTGAGCAATTCCCCCGATCACACTCCAACGGGACGGTTTACGATAGGAAATAGCCAATATAAAGTTTTTCGATGGAGTTTTAATAGTTGATAGGAGGTTAACAGTTCCTTGCTATTTTCTTTGAAAATCTCCCATAGACAAAGTCTACCACGCCTCGTGCGAAGATTTCGTTCGACGAGGAAAGAACTGACGAAGAGGATGACTTTGCAACACCCTGCGGCAGTCCGGAGCCCTCGGACAACGAAGAGGGGGAGGAGAAGGACAACGAAAATGAACTCACTATAACCCAAACTGACGCAAATCGCAGGTCTGTTTCACAACCTTCTAACTGATTTTTTTTTACAAAACCTTCCTCTCCTCGCTGCTCACTCGCTTAACCTTTTTAGACGATCTTCCCAAGTGTCTTCCCGTCCCAAAAAGTTGTATGAAACTTATACCCTGCGCTTAGACGACCTTCGTGTGTTGACCGGCCGAATGGGCGATTTGCAAAAATCAGGTCTTTGGGCGGAAGTCGACGACTCCGGCGCGACATTAGGTAATTCCTTGGGCCGTAATTTCCTGGTTTTATAATAATAATAATAATTTATGCTGCATCTTTGCGTAAGTACCACTTTGTTTATTGTGTCGATTTGGCTGACTGTAGTTTTTTGTGTGGTTATAAAAACAGATTCATCTCACTCACGCCGCACCGCGGACCATATTGTCACCTCGCCGGCAATGTCTCGTGTCCACCTCATTGATCGGTTCAGCCTCACTGCGTGGATAGCCAAACGCGTCCTCCCCATGGCCGTGATTTCGCCCCTCAAAGGGG